CTTACGTTAATCGCAGCTTATCACAAAAAAAAAGCCACATGCGTATCAAGCCACGAGCAGACTAAAGTTAGGTAATTGCCCGTTTTATATCTCAATAATTTTTAATCGAATTCATACTATAATTCCCTATTTACTTGTAGAAAGATATTTAACTATTCATTTAAAATAGATCTGCTAACAATTTGTTCTCACTTCATATCGCTCACATATAATATGTCCAAGAGGATTTGATTGTTTGAATCGAATAGACTCCGAAACTTCTAGACCAAATTTAAATATTCTTTCACCCACAGGAACTTACATCATACGGGGATATGATAATGATATAATTTACGCAGCCGAAGTAGACACTAGCTGAAAATGATAATAGTTTACACATCATCATCATCAGCCCTTTTATGTCCCCACTGCAGGGGCTCAGGCCTTCCTTATGGATGGTTAAGGAGGATGGGCCATGACCTTCCACGCTGGCCCAATGCGGATTGGAGGATATTAACGACTGCAAATGCAGCCGGGACCAACGGCTTAACGTGCCTTCCGAAGCACGGAGTAGCTCGAGATAATAATTTTTTAGTCACCCATCCCGTGACCGACCCCTGCGAAAGTTGCTTAACGACAACGATCGCGGGCCGCGGCGCTTAACCACTACGCCACCGAGCTACTCATATAGTTTACACATTATTATCAATATTCATTTTTGTCTAATGAAATTTAAAGCGACTATTAAAGACACTATAACGCCAATATGGGTATAGGGATGACGACTGTATAAAAAAATAAATTCTATTTAGTCCATCAGTCAGATAATAGATTTTTTTTTACTACAATTTGCCAAGAAATAGCTTAGATAACAGGCATTTAGGTGGAGGAGTGGGGGCTCGCTACGTCACAGCTCTGTAGAAAAAGCGTGAGGTCACGTGATATTTTAACTCAATGTATCGCCGTTATTTAATGATTACGGAAAAATATACATGTTTAATATTTTACAACAATCTACCTGACAGACGAACAGACAAAAATCTGTCGTCAGCCCTATTCAATGGCGTTTAGATTTTCTTGTCAATTAACACTTACATCTAAATTCTGAGATCGATATAATTATAAACATCGTGTATAATTTTGACAACCCTAAATTCTGTTAAATAATATAAAAGAGTTATAGACACATGATAATCATAGTACACGGTGACTAAAAATTCAAAATACATTTTAAACTCTTTAAAATGTATTTTAATTTTTTTGTTCCTTATAGCTAATCAGTGTTATTAATAAACACAAGGTTTAACATTGGACTAAATTTACGCTGAGACTGCACTGCGTATTAGCCAAAATTCATATTATTAAACATTGACTTGACAAAGGTTAACCTAGTACGAGATTCTACGGGAGTAATATTTACTCCTAGAAGGTATTATTATTCTTTGTATAATATAAATTTGGACTAATACTAAATTTGCTATTTTAGCACAAATTAACTCTGACGCTAAACCTTGTTTATTAATAGGGCTGAATATGTTGAGCAATTACGTCGACACTTTCTGTAAAAATAGTATTTGAATACAAAAACCACACTTAATACATCTTATGGCGAACATTATAAGACAGAAATTTGTTTGAATGCTGTAGAAGAGAAGTCAGGTAAAGGCGCTAGTATGCGACAATCACGCGGAAGCCTCGTCACAATCCTTTAATGGTTTAATAGCTTATTTATTGAGTCCATATTATACAACTAGTTCGTGTTGGTTACTTTTGCCAAATAATATCAAATTATTAGCTTGCTTCTATCAATTTTATTTTAAAACCTTATTATTTAATTATTTTTAATAAAAAATATCTGAATATATATTACATACACATATATTATTTAAAAAACAGCAGTACACCAAAGTCGCCTTTCTAGTAAGTACTAATTTCCATTTAAGTCAATAAATGGCAGTGAAATCAATTTTATTTTTTGTCTATGGTAGACAATATTAGTATTCATTCATATATTATTTTTACTAAATAAAACCTTTATTTGACTAAATAAAAATGGTTTATAAATTTTAAATCATGAAGAGATTCGATATTTTATTAATACAAATAAAGGTTTTCCAGAAGTTCAAGTAACTATATCTATAATTGAATTAATTAAAATCTCATCAAGAATGCAAACTAAATCGCCATCAATCATATCAAATAAGATAATTGGCGCCATCTATCAGAGAATAACGTAAACGAGTTGTTTCAAATAAGGAATTATTTTTGTAAATTCATAATGATAACTTTACATTTTTATGGGTAACACATAATAAGTTAACTTTAATGGCGTGATTCAATTCGTAGCAATCGCTTGCTACGGCGTAGCATGCCGTAGTATTATAAGTATTATGACGTTGTTCTACCTGTGTTAACGTGGCGTATTAATTTGTATATTTGTAATAGATCAATCAAAAAGTGTCGGAGTGATTTTTAAACAATATCAAACTCAAGTTATTAATGAAAAAATGATTTCTCTTAATATAATTAATATTCTGTAAAAAAAATATATTCATTAAACGCACATATTATATTCATCAAACGACAGTTCAACGCAACCTCACAATACAATTTGTAGCGTGATGGATAATCAAAGAGGCCTATCAAGTAGCAACACGGCCAGTTCACGACGTCCGCACTACATTTAAGTGTGTGATGTGGCGAGTTGTGGCCCATTCCCTATAGTGTCATCCATCAACATTGCTTCGATGTTAGTAGATAATTTTGTTGAGTGGTATTTAGCTGATTGATTATTAACACAATATAAATAAATCAGTAGAAAAACTCAACACCAAGCAACCCTTCAATCTAAAGTAATTTCGCATATCATTAAAAAACTGACCATGCGCGAGTCGGGTCCCACGCCAAATAAAAAAATGGTTAAAAATCACGTTTGCTATATTGGAGCCCTTTTAAATATTTATTTTATTCTGGTTTTTAGTATTTTCTGTTGAAGCGACAACATAAATACATCATCTGTGAAAATTTCAACTGTCTAACTTTCACGGTTAGTAATAAAGTTCCCGTTTTACTCTTTGGGTACAGAACCCTAAAAATGCTCCTTGGATGCGTAAAAAGTGGAATTATCAATCATTTTCACCAAAATTAAACACTCGTATTTGGTCAACAGTTATTTTATTAATTACTTTGGTCATTTAGAAGTTTGTTTTTTGTTTTCGTCTCAAATTAAGAGAGAACAGCACGCCAGGCTGTACAAAACTGACGAAATCCGCCACGTGATTTTAAACCTTAATATATTGTGGGTTTTTATAAAAACCTTAATATTAAAAAACCTTAACCTTAATATTTATAACGTTGTTCAGATCCCTTTTAAAATAGTTAAAACACTTGTAGGTACTATGGAAATCTAAAAACTACAAAGATAACACAACAGACCCAAGACAATATAGAAAAGTAGATTTCCTACATTTACTCAACTTGGTCCACAAAGTTGACAACAAAGGTTTTTGTAATTATCAAGTATAAGTCATAAGAAAAAGATACACTACTGTTATCTTATTTTAAGATGTCTATTCTATTATTTAAACATTAAGATGGAAGGTCAAAATGAATTGTGATTCACTATCTAAATATATAGGTATAATATAATATTTAATATTTTTAAACGACTTCAAAAAGGTGGAGGTTCTCAATTCAACTGCGTTTTTTGTGTGTTTGTTTTAGGCGATTGCTCCGCCAATTAAGAAGCGATTTTCAAAATTCTTTTTTTTTTTATTCCACAGCTTAATGGGCCCAGATAGCCATATTTTTTTCGAAATCGAATAAACAGTCTTTTTTATGTTTTTCTATAAAATATTTTCTGAATGAAAATGCTTCATTAAAAATTTGGCACTCAGAGATGGGACAAAGTGAATTTTTTAAGCATTTTATTGAGAATATTTTGCAGAATAGCATTGTGAATATACAATTGATCATATATAATAAAACAAAAAATATTTTTCATCGGATATCAGCAAAATATTTTGCTGTCATGTTTATATCAGAGAAAAAACAAAAGATAGCGTACTTCCTATTGTTCAAAATCCGAAATGAGGAATTTCTATGTTCATCGGGTATGTATAATTTTTAATTACTAAACAACTGATTCTTTTTTGCTTAATTTTATTTAATGAGCTCGTTTATACTTGCACGAATAAATAAGTTTTATTGATACTGTAACTTCTAATAAATTTATATACTTTTATTTAGATCGATATGCTGATGTGTTTGATTGTAGTTTAAATAAATAAAATAATAATTAAACCGTTCTAATTTGCTAATTGTGTAATAAAATCAGCCTCGAACTCGACGTTTAGCGCAGCGACGTCACAGCACACAAGTTCAATTGATTAAAACCTACTTCAAAAGGTAAAAGAGGTATTATTTCATTGAATCTCTATGCTGTGACAACGCTGTGGTAAACGTAGAGTCTGAGGTTGACTTTAATATATAATAGCACTGCTGGACTTAGTATATCTGATTTTATCTAATATTTTCTATTAATTTAATATATTTATTTATTTAAACTTTAATTATTAATTGCGCACAATACAAATGGCGGGCCTTTAGGCATTCTCTACCAGTCAACCTAAGAGTTGAATTAAGATAATACATGAGGTGGTGCGTAAATTCAACTGGAAACATATTGGTTATTTTTATTATACCTATGTCATTATAGCGATAAAAATCTATGAAATACTTTTGGTGAGAATTATCTTAACACCATCAGCATTTATTAAAAATACTGTACGTTCAATAATTTCAAATATTTACCTGAGTATCAATCAAATGCTTAAAATTTTTGTATACTTATTTAGGGTTATCAGAAGGTATTTCTTTTACAGCTTTGTAGCGTAGCTAGATTAAGAGTAACAAACCGTCGGCATTGCGGAGTGGTTTCGATTTAACTACCATCAAAGACACCTTCAGATTACAAACAATATATAAGAGCCGATACAATCAAACATCATCGTCTCCCTCACTCATGCAAAAGACATGGCTCCCATGAGTATGCTGCAGGTATAATTTATGATAGAAGTAATATGCAATAATAGTAATGTGCATTGCATAGTTCGGTCTGTGATGAGAAGGGCAAGCAACGGTCGCAAAGGCTGGTAATAGGATAGCTGGCCGAAAAATGTATTATCTTGAGTTCCTGCATGCTTCGGATTACATTAAGCCGTTGATGCCAACTGCATCTTGAGTGGTTAACACCCACCTATCTGCACTAGACTTGCGTTTATGGCACATTGTCTCTATATGATTCTATACAGAGTGAAGGCCTATTTAGCAGTGGGAATATTATGAGACTAATGATGGTGGAATAGGTGTTTTCGTACATTATGAAAACAAAACCTGAAAAATAGGGGCCGCATTACTGAAACTTCATCCTACGTCCAGATTAGGGCTTCCGCTAGTCGAGGACATCCGCGGGAGATTTCTGTGGCTCGCTTTCATTGGAAGGTTATCGTTTTATTAATGAATGAGATCGCTAGCGTTCTGCGTGCTGACCCCGTCGACCAGTGTAATTTAGTTATTAGTAAGTATACGCTACACCACAGCCTCTACTTTCTTACATGCTACCCACTAACCTGGAAGAAGAGTGTGAACGCTACCCACTGGTAGTACTTGCCGTAGCGGCGGGGGGAGTTCCCCGCCCCCCTCACCCCCGGGTACGCCCCCGCCTCGCCCGCCACAGTGAACGTGGAGTGAATCCAGCAGTATGTGTTCAGCACGTCTTCAGGAATATCCCTAAATGTGAAGATGACAGTTTATTCTTTGTTTTTCTGTATACACAGAATAGGACATCAGGTAATCAAATGTAAAGATTCCGAAATCAATTTAAGTCTCTGTACACTAGCGAGTAGGGTTGCCAGGCGTCCGGATAAAGCCGGACATAAGCTGCATTTTTAAGGCTTTTCAAAATTATGTGATTCAATTGTTTCGAAAGTCGCTCTAATAAAGTACTTTAACTAATTTTGCACTCAGTTTTATATATATTTCATTTGAATTTAAAGAATACGGTAAATATTCAGTAAGGCTTAGTTTTTACATATAATAATACTAAACACAAACCCCTTGACTATGCTTTTAACCCAAACTTCTGGCCAAATCAACTTCAAACTAGGCGTCAAACGTAGTGCTGTCGCGAGATAGAGCTACAATGAAAAATAACCTTTATTACCTTTTGAAGTAAAAGCTGTTATATTACAGAATAGCTGGAGATTTGAAAACTTTGATAAAGGAATGAAATATACTATACACTCCTAATCACTTCTTCCAGGCAACCGAATGTATAGAACCTTAACTTGAGACGACTAATAGGCTAGTTTACAATTTTTTTGTATTTTATAAATAAATAGTCCATTAATATCTGAGAAATAATGTAGAAATAACAGCGTGTTAACGATTAATAGTTTTGTAGATACGGTGGTATGTTTATGGAACTGTTGCTGGACGGCCAAAAATGCTCCCTTCAAATTCAAACCACGTAATGACGTCATACCATGCTACGGTAGCGAAACGTATGAGCGTGTAGGCAATAAATAAATAAAATCCATTTATTTGGGACAAAAAAACAGAATGTAACACAATCACATAAACTACGAAAACTTTGTCCCAAAATGATTCCAGCTCAGTATATGCTGGTCTTGTGATCAGCGCTGATCTTCCGCTGGAACCCATCTGGTGAAATTACAAACAGTAACACAACACTTAACAAATTACAAAACATATATATAGCCGTACCCAAGGTTAGGCTGTATGGCGAATTCAATTCCTTGTTTCATAGACAAAACATATTAGATACAAGCCTACTATATTGACACTTCTAAAAATTCTCATTTATTTGTAATAGATTCACTTTTTAATTAGTTCTTTATTTATTATTACTTCTAGTTATTTGTTATAGTAGTACAATGAAAGTTGTTACTTTTAATATTAAGTATTAATTTATTTTAGCCATATGTATTTGAACAAATTAAAAAGTCATCAGTTTTAAGCGACATTAACCATACAAATTTTACATTAATTAGAGCTTAAAGGCATCATTAAATCTTAATGGTCGTTTGTGCATCAGTCCTATTGCAAATGTAATAACAGCAGAGATGTGACAAATTTTAACATACATGAACAATGCCTAAGTAATTGTGTATACATATATATTTTGCTTGAACCTACCTATTTTTTAAACCAAAAAATGTTATCATCGTGTAAGTTTTAATATAAACTCACAGTTCCCTATAATTTTTTTAGACGAACAATTACGTGAACCCATTTTTTGTGACATCCCCGTACATTCAGTTATAAAAACAAAAAATAGTTACATCGGTACTTTACTTGTACATAAAAGAAGTATAAACTACCCAAATCCTGAAAACCTGAATCAATCTCATGCTTCGTACACGACACTTCTGAAAATACAATCACTGCCATCTATCAAAGATTGTAGTAACTAAATGTCCCCGCATAAACCCCGCGTAAGACACAAACCTTGTATGTATACAATCTATGGGGTTTCCCACCAGGTGGCGCGTCGTCAACGCCGCGCTCGCTGCCAACAGCGCCGCAGTAGTCGCACCGCAATGCAGACGAAACGCCACCGAGTCAATCTTGGGGTTTACACCTTGCTATTTTTGGAAGAAACAAAATCAATACACTTGATAATGACATCAGGAAAATAATAACAGCGCCATCTATTATATAAGTTGGACAATATTATGACTAAACATCTTTCTTTTCATGACAAAACGTAGTCTTTCAGTTTACTTATTTATTCGTTATAGGAACATAATATTAAATTTAAAAAAATATAAGAATCAATAAAGACAATTTTGCACAAACACTCTGTTCCCAAATTAAATAGCCGAAGACTTTTGTTTTTGAAATCGATAACAAAAAATGTTATCACCCTGAACCGAAAAGACGTAGGAAAACAACCTTTTCTGCAATGATCCTTTTGCCTATTGAACCCGTGAGCAAAGTGACGGCGCGGCGACGAGTAAGCCTAAGCTATTCGACAATAAAGACCGGATATACTATAAATAACATTTTAATTAAATATTGATTAATTAAATAAGTGCTTCATATCCAATTACTATCCAAAATAGAGTTTATTTTTGAAATTTTTTACCTAACGCTTATCTCGAACATTTAACTTTTAATGTGTTTTTAATTACAGATGTTAACATAATTTACCTTGCGCAAATATTTAGGTGCTTTTCTGAAACGATACCATCGCACTCAACAGCAAAGGAACGTTTGCAATATCTTTTAAATTAACATTCGCACAGCGAGCAGGAAACTAACTCTATTCGAAAGAAATTGAATTTAATTCTTAGATACTTAATTAAATTCATAAATTGCGAAATATGTCAGATTTATTCTCATTTTGCAATAGGTACATCACCGTTAAATTAGCAGCATCGCCAGTAGGCAAAAGCTGTAACATTGCCATGTGAACTCCCAACTTATGATCCCAATAAGAATATGATTTGCGGGGTCCTAGCACACTTTGAGAATCGCAAATTAACCTTCAAACCTACGGTGGTTTAAAATTATATGACGAAAAAGTATATAAACGGAAGATGTTTACGATTATAAGATAACATAATAAAGAATTCTGTACTTTAGTTCAAAAGATATTACAATCAACAATAATTAATATATTTATTTATTTCAATATCAAAATCTACAGATTCTTATCTAAATAATGGTAGTACAATTTTCATCAATAATTATTAAATTAAATTAAATGGAGATTCCATTTAAGAATGTTACTAATCAAATATGCATTACACACACAGCTACATACATACAAACATGATTTATTTGTATTGGCCGAGATGGGATGACATAAAGAACAATGTAGCATTGTGAATGCTAGATTTATTAAATATAATAATAATATTGTGTTTCAAAAATACATGTAGGCAACAATTCTGTTAGCCTCTTTAGATAGATGTTTCTTATATTTTTAATTTGAATTTTATATAAGTCTTTATCACTTAATGTTTTACTGGCTGTATCGGTAGTATCTTTTTCACGTATTCTTTAAAAAATATATTAGCCAATTATTTTGTTAACTACAGCCTTACTATCGATAATAACACCCTTGGGTTGTATTACTACAACAGAATCACAATAATAGGAACATAATCACTTAATATTAGAATTTATTTATGAGAAATTAATGTTACTAAAGAAACATAGCAGTTATATCGCGAATTTGATCAAATGAAATGGCCTCTGAACCATTATGTAGTATATTGAAATTCGCTACCACAAACTCACGATTTCACCTGATGGTCTCCCCAACTTTTTTTCACTTATTTCGTTGACCTCTGGGGGTCAATAAAGACTTTGAGTATCAGTGGATTATAACAAAATAAACAAATTTGAACTTATACTTGGAAAAAAAATATAAAATAATTTATAACTTTTTGAATTGAATTGAATAAGAGATAAAGCTTGATTAGTTAAACTAAACTTTATTATTATGCACCATATCTTTAAGCTGGCATATCTTTTCCAATAAAGTAAGTAGAGCGTTAAGTAGATAATTAAATTATATGATATTTTTTGTCTGTATTCAGGTTGTGTTTATTGAATTATGACGAATAACACAGTGTAACACAACTTGGATCTTGAAAGGAAAAGAAATGATAGAATAGAATAGAATAACTCTTTGTTGTCAACACCACGGACACAAAAAAATATACACGAATATTAATACACAGTGTAACGACCAGACGACCTTTGGATGAAGAGAACTAAATGACAACCAGAAAACGGGGGTGCAAACTAAAGTAATTCTGTAGATATTAAATCATAAATATTTAATTATAATAACTATAAATACTATTAAAATATAAACAATTTAATAACAATGAAGAAGTATTTAAAAAATAAAAATTAGTTGTTGTAATCATAAAAATAAATTTTGTTTCTGACGTAATAAAAGTAAATTAAATTAATAAATATAACATGGTTTTGTGTTTCTTATAATATCTACGACGAACGATGTTTGGTTTATACGTCAACATTAGTGATGAACCTACGTAATGGTTGCTCGTAACTTTCATCCGAATTCAGGTTTGGAATGAAGAACAAAAAGCGGAGCGCAGAATTCAGCTTGTTTGTATGTGTCATTATGCATCCACAAAACGAATGATATTAATATAAACATCAAAATCAATTCAGTATAGGCTGTTACATAGTACTTGTGAAACTCGAAAACTTTGCCAATGGTTCACAAAACTAAGGCGGAAGATCTTGACTGACAAGAATCGGCAGGAAACTCAGCAAAGACAGCTTTTTTAATTTCAACTATACTATATTTGAGGGAACGTAACGACCTAACGCACACGACGCCACCGCAGAGATTTTAAGAGAGCATGACAACTCTAAGTACTTATTAAATAATATATTTTAATAAAACTGATTTCTAGAGTAGGTTGTGTAGGAAGTCAATCTATTATTAATAATATTATTGTAAGAACCAAAAAGCACATACCTACCGTACGAATTAACTTAACACATGGCTCGATGTCCGCCGTCGACATGCAAGATCAGTAGCAATAGTGTAATAAATGTACGTGTCTTTGTGATTTTGAATTTTAAAATTATATATTCTTGCTGTTCGTTTAGAACAGATGTTTCTTGTTGATTGCTGAATGTTTATTAAGATGATTTAATTATGAATATAAGATTTAATAACTGATCATAGTTTTTTTAAAGTCTTCATTTCGAAAGCACAAGTTATTTGAACATTTCAGTATATGTGATACATATCAGGTATTTTTATTGTAATTATAGTTTTTATGACTTTTGTTGCTGATTAATACACCCTATTTATTCATTCACCATACATGATATAAAAATATTATTGAGACTTGATGTAGTTTTGTTGTTTTAAGTTCAACAAACAACTAATAGCAATAAAACTAACTTAATTCGTTGTTATTGTACTTTTGTTAAATATTATAATGAAAAATTCCTAGCAAAAGCAGTACATTATATATATATAAAAAAAAAGGAAAATACTGAGACAAACGGTGGTGACTCAGCTAATGTTGAGCAAGAGCATGCACTTGCCCAACGCTGATTTTCAGTCACCCCTCTTTCCCAGAAGATCAAATGTGGGGATTTTAGTATTAAAGGAGCAGCAGCACAAACTAAGCAATAATAATTTAGCTACGATTACTCTTTTTACAATATTACAAATATATATGAGTCAGACACCAAAATATTATACTGAATATCTATTAATTAATCAACTGTCATTCAAATTCAAATAATATGCAATATATTATAATTTAGCACTTTGCAAAGATCAGGTATTATTACTGGGTATGTGTGTATGTTTCGTTGTGTATGTGTGTGTGTTTTTGTGAGACTGTGAGTGGTATGGACCGTTAGAAATATTCTTTCAACGGGAGACTGTTCCAGTATGCATGCTTCAAGTCTTCCGCAGCTAATTGTCGTTTTAAAAGGGCCAATTTGTATGTTTTCTTGAAATACAGTCCGCTCACTTTTTTCCTTAAAGGTGGAGGCAAATCATTCCATATTTTTGCAGCCGCATACCTGAAGCAACCTCTGAACCGCGTTGTTTTATGGCTTGGCATCTTTAAAAGATTTTGTTCACTAGATCTACCTCTAAAAGATCCTTTGTGGAACCACGTCAGTTTTTCAAAAAGATATTCTGGTCTTTTGTTCCAGATCACTCTATGAATGATATTAGCCAACTGAAGTTCCCTCCTACCCATCATATTGAGAATACCATTTTTGTTAAGGTATGGTGTTATGTGCTGTCTTTTGGGTATGTTAAAGGAGAATCGTATACAGGCATTCTGTACTCTTTGTATAGCTCTTTCGGAGTTTTTGCTTACTCTTGGTCCGTAGATTGAACTGTAGTTGTTAAAGACCGACAGCACGAGTGAGTCCACAAGTTGAACACGTAATTCTTCTTTTATATATGGTCTTATTTTATATAAGATTTTAAGCCTAAAGAAAGCATTCTTTATTTTTTCATTAATATGATCAGTGTATTTCTGTTCACCGTCCATAATCAATCCCAAATTCCGAGCGGTCTTCACCTCTTTCAACATAATTCCATTTATATTAACCTTGCCACTATATTGAAGTACCTTTTGTATTTGATGTTTAGTACCCAATATTAACATTTGCGATTTGTCCGCATTAAGAATTAATGAATTTGTCTGTGACCAGCTGTATACATTATTTAGATCATTGTTCAACCTTTTTATTGCTCCTATGACATCGTTTCCGTTGAATGAATAATATAATTGGGTGTCGTCAGCGTAGAGGTGGTATTTACACATTTTGATGCAGCTAGGTAAATCGGCAGTATAAATCGCGAATAGTATTGGGCTCAACAGGGATCCTTGCGGCACTCCTCTCTCAAGTGCCCTTATTGTTGACGAAAGTTTTTCTCCATTTCGATCATCTGTAATTACAACCTGCTCTCTATCCAACAAAAATGTCTGGAACCACTTACAAGTATTTATCGAGAAGCCGTAGAGCTTTAGTTTTTTAAGTAGTAGTGTTGGGTGTAAGCAGTCAAAGGCGCGAGAATAATCAAGGAGGATAAGTATAGTTGTTAGTCCCATATCAGAGGCCTCTGCTATATCATCTGTAACATTCAAAAGTGCCGTCTCTGTGCCATGTCCTTTGCGAAAACCAGATTGAAACTTTGGGAGTATTTTATTTGTCTCCAGATAATCAACAATCTGTCTCAGAACTACCTCCTCTATTACTTTAGAGAGAACTGGCAATAGTGATATTGGGCGTAAGTCTTTCCAATGTTCAACCCTATTTTTCTTAGCAATAGGTCTTATTACAGCTCTTTTCCAGCAGGTTGGGAAGGTATTAGTTTCGATTGACCTGTTTACGATAGCCGTGATAATTGGGAGCGTTACATCAAGAGTCAATTTGATCATGTCAATATTTATCTCGTCATAGCCTGCAGCTTTTGTTTGAATTTTTTTTATGGCTCTGAACACTTCGTCTTCTGAAACAGGTTTAAGTTCAAGGGCGTTCCTTTGAAGTTGACTAACTGGCACAGATACACATTCTAAGTCAACGTCACCAGAAGTGGGCAGCTCAAGAAAGTAGTCATTTATTTTATTGGGATCGTTGAGATGTTCTGGGATTAAACATATAGTAGCATTATCAAATGCATCGGTCTTTTTCAAATTTCTCCATAATAATTCTGGTTTCTTAATGTTATTATTTATGTAGTGATTATAGTACGCCCTTTTTTCACGTTCAATAGTAGACGTGACTAGGTTTCTAAGGCTACGGTAGTAATCTGTAGAAGCTTCGGTTCGCTTTCTCCTTGATTTCGCCAAAGCCTCGTCTCGCAATCTCATCATAAACTTAACCATGTCCGTAATCCAAGGTTTCGGTTTCACTCTCTGAACAATATTTTTGGTTGGAGCGTGAAAATTAAAAAGATCTAAAACAAAGTTGTTAAATGTATTTACCATCTCATTTATGTCGTCTTTATTCAAAATGTTATTCCATGGAAACGATCTTAGACTTTCGTTAAAGAGGTCTACGTTTATATCACGCAAGAAACGCAGTTTTTTAGTAGATTTCGGTACTTTGGGTTTTCTGACGTCCAGATCCACCAGAACCAAGGCGTGGTCGCTCACAGTGTTATGTATAATAAAGGGTTTCCTACATCGTGGTGGAATGTCAGATAAAACAACATCCAAGATGGATTCTGAAGTTTCAGTAATTCTTGTGGGTTCATCGACAAGTTGTTCCAAGCCGTGATGTTGACAGAACAGGAGCAATTCCCTAGTGCGTGGGCAATTAGCATTCTCAACGTGAATGTTCAGATCTCCGAGTAGGCAGGTATAATTGCAATCTGCCATAGAAATAATTGCCTCACTGAGAGCATCGAGAACATCACCCACTTTTACCCCTTCTGGTCTATAGGCAGTTCCTAGGGCGAGTTTACCTCTCGGTAGTTTGACTTCAATCCACATTTGTTCAAGAGTCGATGAAGGGTGCTGCCGCAATCTAAAAGAAATGTGTTTTTTAATGTAAAAACCAACACCTCCACCTTTTTGATTTTGTCGAGCTTTGTGAATAAATATGTATCCTGGTAGCGCAGGAGCTACCATCTCCTCTCCTTCTCTGATCCAACTTTCGTTGATTGCTAGTATGTCAGGTTGGTGATTTAGAATTGCTCCACTAAAATCGTCTCGTCCCGTGTTAAGTGATCGAACGTTCCAAAGTCCAAGCCTCAAATAAGTTCGTCTTTCATTAGCCATTGAGCTTTAGATATATATTCCAATACCAATGTTTCAGATATGAACTCCGTAATTTAGTGTGAGTCTTGAATGAGTGTGTGCGTATTAGGAAGAGGTGACCTTTGCAAAGCTTACAATATTTACCATTAATTATCTGACTAAAAAGAAAACACAATCCCTGATCCACATTTCTCAAAAACAGTACAGAAATGAACAAATTTAAAATTTTCCAAAAATCTTAAGAAAGTCCTCCTCCGAGTGAAGCCGATATCTTGCCCTCCCCTGGTCTTTGCGAGCGAAAATTTTGCCTTCCCGGGTCCATACAAACTTAAAATTTGTTTCACGGGCTAATGCTCGTGCCTTCTGGAACAGCATACGGTTATAACCCGTGAGTCGCTCATTAATATAAATTGCCTTAGCTGGTCCGGGTAGTTGCAATCCATCCGTAGTTAGGGTACGTCGAACACGAGCAGCACGCAACAATATATCTTTTGTAGCATTACATACTAGGCGGATAGCAATAGGACGAGGGCGGGTGGATGGACTAATTTCAGCTTGAGGTCGTGCGGGCCCAACTCGCCTCGCACTGACGACGTCTTTCTCCTCTATATTTATTCCTATCTTGGTCGCGATAGACCGCACTAATGCAATGCAATTTTCGTTACCCATCTCCGGACAGCCAGTTATCTCTATGTCGTTGGCCAAAAGAGTCTGATCACGGTCATAAATTTCAAGTTGGAGTTGTTTTAGCTTGTTATCCAAAACATCCATACCTTTTCTCTCTTCAAGCTCTAACACCTTAGCTTCAAGTTTCTCTATGCGGATAGCCTGCGCTTTAATAGTTTCGGTTAAATTGGTAATCATTTCCCGTAGGCTATTCGTCTGCGCATGAAATAACTCACCCATATACAGTTTCAACTCTGTCACAATTGCGCTGTCGACTGAACTCCGAGAGCATTCCGTGACAGTTGATGGGCTGTTATGTTTTTCTTCGGTAGTAATTAAGCTGTTGTGACTAGGTTTTTGAACAGTCAAGACAGTTTGCCTTTTTTCGGCGATTGTAGATCGTGATGTTTTGTTACGTATGGTTACATTTTGGTCACCTTCGTTGTCCCGTGCTGCCAAATGGGAATGTTGCTCTGTTTCAATCTCGGATGTGGCGGTCCTTATCGGCGTATTGGTATTACCGGTTTTCGGTCGTTTACTTACGCATAGTGGACACTTCCAGTTATCCTTCCGTTCCATCAGTTCAAAGAGTTTTTTACTTACATTGGCGCAATCCAAATCATACATAGATTTACAACTCACACATTGTATATAATCTCTCTTGGGTAGGGTGTTTGTGCAACCAGCGCATTTCTGTCGGGGGCTCATTGTACAAAATTATGTTATGAAATCAATAAATTCCACCTATAGCTTCAAAAACAAAAGATTACTTTAACAGATGGGACTATTTCCACTTTACACCCTGGCATCACCTCTCGTCTGTTGTCAAACTGCTTATGTTTTTAGGTTGGTACACTTGACAAGTATTCTAGGTATAGTCTATGGTTTCATGCCACAATGTTTTTAGGTTATGTGAACAATATTTTTAACACTATAATTCACTTCGATCCATCACTGTAGCACTGTGGATTTTTCTTACACAAGAAGGATACAATTTTCTACCTTGAAACAGCGCAACTTCGCTGAGATTTTCACAAGGCTTCCACTGTTTTCAAGCAATTTATTTCGCAGCGCACTCGCACAAAATACAATGCTGATCCTTTTGAGCCATACATTATTATAGGTATTAATAATAAAATTAAATCTTGACTCCAGTATTGAGAATGAATTTGTAAAGTGGTTTGTAGTTCTTGAATTCTTTTAGTAAGTCTTCGAGTTTACTGGGTACCGTTGTTTTCTTGTGTATTGATTCCAGGTCGCTGACAAGTATTAGTCGTTGTATGCCAAATCGTTTGCATTTCATTACCAGATGTTGGAAATCCTCGTCTTCGTTACAAACTGGACACTTCGGGCTATCTACCATTTTCAGTCTATGTAGGTGAGTGCGAGTCTGACCGTGACCAAATCTCATTCTATTTACGGTTGTTATGAATTGTCTGTTGGGCACTGTTTTTTTGTACCACCAAGGTTGGGCGGGCGGGCTTCCTTGGATCATTTTATACCACCGACCTTTTTCTTCACTAATAAGATTCCAATATTCTTTCCAGAGCAATGTGAGATGCTGGTTTGTTTTGGATTTGAAGTCTGTAAATGGAACTTTCATAGAAGAGGAGTGGTCTTCATCAGGTGTGTTTCTTGTTATTTCATCAGCTTTTTCATTCCCAGTGATGCCACTATGAGACTGTACCCATACGAAATGTATTCTCTTTCCCATATTACTAAAGTTATATAAGAGTTGTTTTATATAATAAACTAAATAATTTACATCATATTTACAGTTATTATTATTAAATGAATTTAATGCACTTTGGGAATCTGACAAAATCAAAAAGTCATTACTATTTATATTACTTATGTACAATAAGGCCTGATAAATGGCATAGCATTCGGCAGTGTATACAGAACAATCTTTAGGAATCTTAATGCATCTAGTTACACTTTGTTGTATATCATAGAAAGCTGAAGTTACTTTATCATCAGATTTTGACCCATCAGTATAAATTTTATAGAAACCTTTGTTTTCAATAAATTGCATTAATTCATTATTATTGTGTAATAAATCTGTATGCAATATAAAACTACAATTTGTTAATGCATTATAATCAAGCTTATATAAAGGCCACTGATTGTCTCTAAATAGGTTGTCATAGAACTTATGTATGTACACTGTTATTGCAAGTAATCCTGGAGTGATTCCAGATTTTAGTAATGATATATTGATATATGAATCTGTTTGTGTATTTTGTAATATTTGTGGTGGTAAAAGCCTTTTCTCTAAGCAATAATTTTTTGATGAAAGTATTTTTATACAGAATCTTTCAGCCAATTGTAACCGGCGAAATATCAAAGGTGGTATACAACTTTCAGTCTGCATGACATGTATGGGTGTTGAACACATTGCACCAGTTATTATTCTTAAAGCCTTATTTTGAATTGTATCTAACTTTTTAAGTAGAGTAAGATTAGCATTCATATATGCCAAACTACTGTAGTCGAAATGACTTCTAACAATGCTTTTGTATAGCATAGATAAGATTTGAGGGTCAGATCCCCAATGTACCCCTGCTAAGGATCGGAGAACATTTAAAGCTTTTGTAGCATTACCTAATATTTTATCAATGTGCTTCTGAAAGTTTAATTTAGTGTCCAGAAGTACACCTAGATATTTGTAATTTTGAACCCATGGCAAAGAAATATTATTGAAATTTATATAACTGTTAATTATGGGGTTTAAAACCTTTTTTGAGAATATCATAGCTGAACTTTTGGAACCACTTATTTCTAATTTTAACTTATTATTATAAAAACTATGAATTTGAAACATTGCTCTATTCAGTTTGTTAATTGCAATATTTACATCTTTATGTATAGTATAAACAAGGAGATCGTCTGCAAATTGTAAAAAATGTACATCTTTTTCTTTTAAAAATTGTTTGATCTGACAGGTATAAATATTGTATAATATAGGGGATATGGTTGCTCCTTGCATTGTTCCCTTATAGACTTTTCGTGGTTCGTGAAGTATATTGTTATATTTTAAATACATAATCCTTTCATAAAGAAAATTAAATATCCATTTATTTACTTTTCCAGGAATACCTATTTCAAACAGAACTTGTGTTAGTACAGAGGGATCCACATTATCAAATGCTCCTTTAATATCTAGGAATGTACATACTGTTGCAGAATGACTAAGGAAAGATGATTTTATGTCATGTATTAATGTTGTGAAGCTCTCTGTTGCACTACGACCTTTCCGGAAGCCAAATTGTTCTGCAGGTAATATATTGTTACTCTCTAAATAATAATCTAATCTTACTTTTAACATATTTTCAAACACTTTACCTAAACAGGAGGACAAAGATATAGGTCTATATGAATCACTGTCACCTGCGGGTTTATTGGATTTCAATATTGGAATCACACATTGTGTTTTCCAGGTAGATGGTATCATTTGTAATTCCCAAAGACTATTATAAATGTCGAGTAATTTTGTTTGTGCATTCTTGTGTAATTTTTTAATGAGAATGTAAGTTATATCGTCAAGGCCCGGACTGGTGTCTTTCCTAGATTTTAAAGAAATTTCAAGTTCTTGAAATGTAAATGGTTCTGTAAGAAAATGAGCATTTGAATGTCCATTAAAGTTAAAAGCTGTTTCCAGATTAACAAAATCTATGTTTTTTCCAGGAGCTGATAGTGGTGCATATTTTTCTAAGAAGTCTGAAATCCATTCATCATTCTTTGGCTGTTTCGGGGAAGATGCCCTTTTAAACCTTCTTATGTAATTCCAAATGTTACTTATTGGAGTATACCTATTAAAACTTTCACATAATTTCGCCCAACTATTTTTTTTCTTTTCCCTAAGCAGTAATTTTTTTGAAGCATCTATTTTTTTATACGAAATATAGTTTTCAATCGTTGGATTAGATCTGTAAAAATTTAATGCATCTTTACTTTTTTTGACTGCATCCTTACACTGATCATCCCACCAGGGGGCGGGCCTTTTAATAAGTGAGGGGATATCTTTTTTAAATTTCGGTATATATTTTTCTTTTAATTCATTTAGTATCATACAAAATCTTTCATAGGAGTTCATTGGATTAACATGACTTAAGACAACATTATTAAACGCATTTTCACTTTCTATTGTAAATCTATTCCAGTTAGCTTTACTATATATATATCGTTCATTCGGGGGTCCTACTACGTATTTTTCAATAGAGACCTGAATATCGACAATAGTTGGGAAGTGATAGCTTCCCATAGAATCTGAGTGTACGCTCCAGGTACATAAAGGAGCTACAGAAGGACTTATACAACTAACGTCAATTGCAGATGGATTATAGCCTGGTCGACCTACTGTGGTTGCTGAACCAGAGTTTAATATACACAAGTCACAATCATCAAATATATTGTAGATATCATTACCACGGCTGTTACATGTTAAACACCCAAATGCTACGTGATGAGCATTAAAGTCACCAGATACCATAATTGGTTTAGGTAGATCATTAATGACTTTCTTTAGCTTATTACTTTGGAAGCTCGGTCGACCTTGTTTCGAAGGAGGACAATAAATACATAATAATGTTAATTTCCCAGTGCCTGTATATAAAATTATAGCAACAGATTGTAACTCTTCATAAAATGGAACTGATAATATGGAATATTTATATGGGTCTTTAATTAAAATTGAAACTCCACCACGACCGCCTATACTAATTTGATTAATGCTGTTGTAATTGGGGATACGGAAATTGTGATTTTCTTTAAGCCAAGTTTCATTTAATAAACAAACATCTATATTGTTATTGCGAAGGTAATTAATAAGAAGAGGTTTTTTATTTTGAACACCTTCAATGTTATATTGAGATATTCTAATTAGACCTTGGTCCATTCGTGTTCAGGTTTTAAAGTTTTTATTAAAATATCTTGTATAACATTGCTAGTTATAGCTCTTTCCTCATTTCCAATAGTGACTAGAACGCCAACCAAAGCCTTACGAATAAAATCGTTTTTAATAATTTCGTCTATTAGTTTTTCGTTGGATAATTTTGGTACGGAGTCATTTGTGATATTGTCGGCGCTTGTTGAAGTATTAGGTACCGGGTTCAATCCCTGAGTTTTCTTTGGAAGTGCGGGTCTAATTTTAGGGGTTGGTAGTAGAGGGAAATTATTTTTATAGTTTTTTAATACATCATTCTTATTGATGTTGTCTCTTCCAGACGAAACAGCCTTAGAATAAGATACTTTGTTTTTTTTGTCCTCTATTTTTTGTTTTTTTAACGGACACTCACGAGAAATCGCTAAATGGGGGCCTTGACAATTAATACATCTCATTGTTTTGTCGGTACACTGTGAAAAGTGATGCTCTTCTGAGCAAATTGAACATTTCTGGGTAGATTTACAAATTTTCGCGCCATGATTGAATTTAAAACATTTGAAACATTGTAGTAAGGGTGCATTATATTCATGAACTTTAAATCTAAATAAATCTAAATATATATAATCGGGGAGTACATTTGAAAGAAAAGTTATACTGACAGTCTTAAAAGTTTTTAAAACGCCATTCTCTTTTTTGGTGAATCTGCGAACGGCTACGATTTCATATGGGGAACTTAGTTTTTTAAATAGCTCTTCATTGCTGATACTAGTGGGTACGAAACGTAGAACTCCTATAGTCTCAACTGCCGACGCTGGGATGTATG